GGATACCCCACAAATTTACATAAGATGGATCTCATATCCAACTTACCTCCCACTAAATTCTTCATATAAGCAGTACAACCCCATACTTTTAAATACTTGTACGAGGGTGTTTTGCCACACCATATCTCATAAGGTGTGCTGGGTACAGCTTTACATGGCACTCTATTCAAAATATGTGTTGTTGTTTCTAAGGCATAACCCCAGAATGAAAGAGGTAAACTAGTGGAACTCATCATTGATCTAACCATATCCAACAATGTTCGATTCCTTCTTTCTGAAACCCCATTTAGTTGTGGAGTTCCAGGAGGTGTCCACTGTGAAATAATCCCATTATCTCTTAAATAATCAAGAAAATCATTGGTCAAATATTCACCTCCTCGATCTGATCGAAGAACTTTTATACTACGACCAATTTGTTTCTCTACTTCATTTCTGAATTCTTTGAACTTTTCAAATACTTCAGATTTGTACCTTAATAGGTATACATAACCATACCGTGAATAATCATCAGTAAAAGTTATGAAATAGTAGTAGTTCCCCTGGGCACTAACATTTAGTGGTCCACAAACATCTGTATGGATCAAATCCAAAAGACCTTTAGCTCGCTCCACTTGTCCAACAAATGGTGATTTTGTCATTTTACCTTTAAGACATGACTCACAAGTAGGCAACCTTTCCTCTCCCCTAAGGTCGAGTTTTGGTCCCAATTTGTTAATCCTCTTTTCAGATATATGACCTAATCGAGCATGCCAAAGTGTGAATGAACTATGATTATCTAATTTTCTTTTATTTTGTTGAATAGTTAGGATAGGACTTTCTAGTGTAATGGTATATAACCCATTTGTCAAATTTTCGTAATATATAAAAGTTGTATCTTTGAAAATTGAACATCTTCCATTCTCAGTAACAAACTTAAAACCTTCTCTACCCATTACTGGAATAGAAACAATATTTCTTATAACATCCGGAACATACAAACAATTTGTAAGACAAATTTTTACATGATTATTTAAAGCTAGATAAACAGTCCCAATTGCTTTGGCAGAAACTCTTGCTCCATTGCCCATCCTTAGGATTGTTTCATCATCTTCTAGCTTGTTACTTCTTGCCATCATCTGCAAATCATTGCAAATATGTGAGCCACAGCCGGTATCCAATACCCAAGAAGAATCGTTAACTGATAAGTTAACTTCAACAAAATAAATACCTGAACTTTTCAGGCTAGCAAGATACTCCTTGCAGTTCCTCTTCCAATGCCCAGTTTTACCACAATGATAACATTCATGATTAGACTGAGAATTAACCTTTTCTTTGTTCTTTCATTTGTTGTTATTTGCATTCTTGTTGGGTTTATTGGGAACCTTTCCCTTCCCCTTCCTTTTCTTAGACTTTAAAGCCTTTGATCCAGAAGTGGATCCAACAAGAAGCATCGGTTTATCCTTTTTGATTGTGGATTCAGCCGTCTTTAACATGTTCACTAATTCTGGCAGAGAAGTCTCCATATTATGCATGTTAAAATTAACAACAAAGCTATCAAATGACGATGGCAGAGATTGCAGCATGAGATCCACATAGAGTTCATTATCCATAATGACTCCAAGGGACGAAAGCCTTTCAACAAGAGCTATAATCTTCAGCCCATGATCATGAACTGAAGAGTCCTCAGTCATACGACACCTGAAAATCTCTTTAGATATCTGATATCTAATTTGTCGCGTCCTATCACCATACAACTCTTGTAGATGAAGGAGGATTTCAGAAGCATTATTCAACAATTCGTTCTGTCTCTGTAACTCATTTGACATTGATGCTAACATGTAGCACCGAGCTTGGAGATTGTCATCAGTATGACGTAAGTATTCTCCATACTCATCAGATGTCTGATCCTCGGGTGGAGGAGGAGGGGCTTTGTCCAATACATAGTCCCTTTTTTCAGACTGTAGAACAATTTTCAGGTTCCTCAGCCAATCATTAAAATTGGGTTCAATTAATTTGTTTTATTCAAGGATACTTGCAATTGGATTCTTAGCCATTTTAGTAGAGTGATCTACAAAAACAAATGAAGCAGAAAATAATCAGACTATGGAATTTATATTCATTTAATATTAGGTCTTTAACATTAAATGTCTCCCACTATTTTAATTAAAACCCCTATTTTAACTATGAAAATCTAATTTTCATAGTGGGCTTGAAGTCCAATAAAAATATTCCATATCC